CACTTTTTCATTCCATTCTTACTATTCCTTCAAATATGAGTTAATTAAATGTTTAATTCATAATAAATTCAAAAAAAATCAAAAATTTGTAGAAAAATAATTAAAAAATTATAAAATATTTATAAAATAAAATATTATTTTGTTTATTTTTTAAAAAAAATTAATAAAAAATAGTAAAACTCCATAAAAAATTAAAAAAAAATGGATGCCTTTCCCACCGTCTGTACTACCTCCCTGCACCACCATCTCCGGTCGGTGAAAAAATTCCATTTTTCCTAAAAACTGCCATTTTTTCTGAAAATGCCAAAAACATGGCATATTTCTCTTTGAGAATGTCAACATTTTCATTGTTTTCTGCCATAAATTTGGCATTCGTAATGAACTTGGCATTTTTCCCCTGGTGACTCGTGACGGGATGTGGTGGTGCAGAGGAGGCAGAGGCGACGGTGAATTTTATTTTATTTTTTTGATTTTTTGATTTTTTATTTATTATTATTTTTTATTTTTTGAAAAAAAAATCATTATTATCGAAATATTTTTATTAAATGTTTATTATTTTTTACGAATTTTTATTATTTTTTATTATTTTATTATGAATTAAAACATTTCAATAGCTATAAAGGTATATTTGTCCAAGACACACATAATTAGTTCTATGAAAACATAGTTTACTTTTTTGTCCTATTTGTGCAAAGTAGGTGACTTTTAGTCCTATTTTGATAATTAACCCTAACAAGAAACCAAATAACAAAATAATGATAACTAATACGAAAACTTTCATAGACTCTAGCATCCCGTAGAACCCATGGAGGTGATTCAGGAGGAGGTCGTATCATTGGTACCACTCTAATTGATCCTCCATTGTCGACCGAAATCTGGCCTATTCGAAGCTCGTGCAACTCTTCTCGTCCCACGTACTTGTCGGCTACTCTCCACCGATTCCCCTTCGTGCTCGCGTTCTTCCCTGTGCATCTTCACAACCTAGCCCTCCATCCTTCATGCTACCACACACGTCGAAGCAGGTCAAGTCGGCGCTTGGATGCTTCGATAAAGAAAAAGCCGCACGATGACGGCACACTCTCAAACCCTAAGCTAAGGGAAAGATCACTTATGGTGTTTAAAAGTTAGTAAAAGCAGGGCCGTAGATGAGGGCGTGCAAGAAGTGCAACCGCACAAGGCCTCTCAATTTCAGAAGGCCCAAAAATTTAAATATAGTCTATATAATATAATAAATCTTTATTTATTTGATTAAAAATTCCTATCTTATTATTATTTTAAATACAAACATTAAATAGTAATATTTTTATGTAATTAAAGTACAATTGTTAATTACAATTGTGTGATTTCTTTATTTCAAAAGGCCTAAATACATTAATTAGCACAAAACCCTCGTACAATTTGGAACGAGCTTGTAACTACTTTCTTTTTCATACTTTGTCATTACTTTACTTTTCTTAATTTATTCTCTTTTCTACTTTTCATTTACCTTTAGGGTCTACTTTTTTCATCTTAAAACCCACAAAAAACCCAAGGACACTATTATTTAAAAACGGTGAAAGTAATAATATAATAATGATTATATAATGATAAAAAAACTTAGGGCTTCATTTTCAATTTTGCACAGGACCTTCTATATGTCTGGGCCGGCCCTGAGTAAAAGGGTAGTCTACTTAAAAAGTTTTTTCTTTTGTTTTTAGATAGCAATTATTTATTACTACGTACAAGTTAATTTCTATAACTCTTTATGAGGTTTTAGTACACAATCAGATAAAATTGCTTTTTAGCCCTTCTCTTACAAGTTAGCCGACCTAAACATGTTTCCATTTTTACCTCCTAATCTTGTTGAGCTCATTTGATTCCATCTGTGTTTGATAGAATTGTAAGCACTGGTCCGGATGGTCGAATTTAGATCACTCCTTAACATGTTTTATTGAAAGTTAACCTTGTTGTTTAAAATTTCATCATATTTATTTTAGTTTATTTTGAGTCATAGATGCATATTAGACTAGAGTGTGAGTGCACAGCGGGATAAGTCATGCCAAGTAGTGTGTGTCGCATGGCACTGCGCATGTGTTGTAGCGACACTGATGTGCGTATGTGTCGTTGCATTAATGTTAGTCTAACTTGCATGGGTTGGTCAATTAGTTAATTGCATGCATGTTAAATTAATTTGTGGAATTAAGCATTGCATGGTCATGCATGTGTTGTGGGTAGTGGGTGAGTGGGCATCATGGTGTGGGTTTGTAACCACTCTTTTGTACATGGGTTTGCTTTGTTTATAAATGGAGAAAATGTGTGTGTCAGAGTATTATGCTTTGAGCACAAAAAAACAACTACGTATGTGGAGTACGTTTTCTTCCTAAGTATTAACTGCATTTTTTAAAGTACTAACTACATTATCAAAGCTACGTATGTGGAGTATTTTTCATCCTAATGAAGTAGTAACTACATTTGGTATCAGAGCCATGGCAGGCGAAGGTTCGCACACCCCATCACGCTCGCCGGTACGTCATGTGCGGAGCCTGACGCGGTGAGGCGGCCACGAGGTGGTGTTGCAGCAGCGCGTCGTCCACCAGGCCTGCAACACCGTCGTCTACCCGACGTTGACGGCGATGAACTACTTCGAGTGGGCGCTCATCATGAAGGTGAACATGGAGGCCCAAAGTGTGTGGGACGCCGTTGAGGGTGGCGGGAGCTTCAGCAAGGATAGGGTGGCACTTGCGGCAATTTTGCAAGCCGTGCCAGCGGAGATGCACTCCACGCTTGTCGTGAAGGCAACGACAAAGGAGGCATGGGAGGTCATCAAATCCATGTGTGTGGGCGATGAGCGTGTGCGTGAGGCCAAGGCACAAACGCTATTGCGATGGTCCGCGAGGAGTTCAAAAATAAATGACAACAAGGTTAAGGGGGTGATTGTTGAAGTTAACCTTGTTGTTTATAATTTCATCATGTTTATTTTAGTTTATTTTAAGTCATAGATGCATATTAGACTAGAGTGTGAGTGCACGACGGGATGAGTCATGCCAAGTAGTGTGCGTCGCATGTCACTGTGCATGTGTTGTAGCGGCACTTATGTGTGTATGTGCCGTTACATTAGTGTTAATCTAATTTGCATGGTTTGGTCAATTAGTTAATTGCATGCATGTTTAATTAATTTGTGGAATTAAACATTGCATGTCATGCATGGGTTGTGCGTAGTGGGTGAGTGGGCATCATGGTGTGGGTTTCTAACCACTCTTTTGTACATGAGTTTGCTTTGTTTATAAATGGAGAAAATTTGTGTGTCAAAGTATTATGCTTTGAGCAAAAAAAACAACTACATGCGTGGAGTACTTTTTTCTTCCTAAGTACTAACTACATTATCAAAGCTACGTATGTGAAGTATTTTTTATCCTAATTAAGTAGTAACTACATGTTTTTGTGAGTGGGAAGGGTTTTGATGTTTACCAGTCCTATATTGGAGGAACTGGAACTCGCCCGGCTTTCAAAATGGGTTCTAGTCTCGAATCATTTTTTCAGTTCAGTCTATAGGCGAATAACCAACCAACATCAATGCCGAACAGGTGCCAATACCACCACTACCGTTGTTGGGGGGTCTGACGGGAATGGGCTATGCTGCACTTAGTAAACTTTCATGCCTATGGATGGACTCGGGCCGGGTCAACCGGACCAAAACCGGCCCACCCTGGTACTGTCACGAACCTGCCCAACCCGCGGCCCAGGTCCAGGCCGGGTGCATTATACCCGAACCACAATTTTTTGGACCGGGCTCCCGGTCTCCATAAAATAAACTGGCCCGGCCGGCCAGGGCCCGGTCCGGGCCAATTTTTTTAAACTCTTTGGAAGGTAAATGGGTTGAGGTGGGTGTTTTGGAGGGATTTGGGGGGGTAGGAAGTAATTAGAAAATAAAAAAAGGTATCCGGGCCGGTTCCGGGTCTCAAGAAACAAAAAAACAGTCAGGCCCAGCTCGAGGCCTAACCCGGCCCGGCCCGAGACCATCAATATTCATGCCTCAACCAGATATATAGAGAAAAATGTCCAAACTAAGACTGAACATAGTCCTCTTCCAAAAACAACAGGACTAAACATAGTCCTCTTCCGGAACCAGATATGTTTGGTTTTCCCTAAATAGGACTAATCATTTCATTTTTATCCCTAATTTAATTGATTAATTAACCCAATTAATCGTCCCCTAGTTCCCTTGTGTGGTGGGATCCATCCGTGGCGGCGGCGGCGGACTCTGACAGCGACAGTGGATTCTGACAACAATGCGAATCGCTGGCGGCGGCATATTTTATGGTAACTCGCCAGAAAATTTATCGAAAAAATCCCACAATGATCTGACAACCTTAAGGCAGCATTGCTCCAGCCGGCCCTTTGAGAGTATTTTGATTCAATCACAAATAAAAAATCTTATTTAAAATATTTTAAACTTGGTCCTATTTTTGAAAAGAAATTATATTTTAATCCTGATTAGATAAATCTCCGATAAAGCATACGGTGAAACCCAAATGTTTCCACTTTTCTTATAGGATTCACGCCTAACACCGCTAATTGAAGTTGTGAGAGCTTAGGATTATTTTCCAGAGCTTTGCTTGGGGTACACACTTTTTACACACGTCTGTGTAAATTTTTTTTTCTGTACAGACAAAAAAAACCTTACACAGACATGTGTAAAAGGTGTGCACACAAAAAAGTGTGTACCTTAATTTTTCTTGTTTTCCATTGCATAGAGTTCTGCTGAGTCGCTGACTATACATCTTAAACATAACATCAACATAAATATGTTTTTCGAAACAAATTGGTAAAAATCATTAAAAAAGAAAAAATCATAAATATGATTTTACAAAATTGTAAAAATCATAAATATGAAAGTAATTTTAAATTAATGTTTAACACTTTGTGTTTATGTTGCAGAATAGTCAGTGTTAGAATTTATGTTCTGGCGGCATGAAATAAATGTATCAGGAAAAGTTTTTTCTTTTCCAGAAGTACTAATGTAAGCAACAAAGAAAGAAAGATGCATTTTACTCCAAACAGCGCATGATAAAAAATCGAACATCTGTTAGTTCTATAGCGCCAATCAATCACAAATTCACAATCACACATGATGATAAATAAAAAGATAATCCATTCGTGAAGACATTATAACCTATACAAACCTATTTGAATATAACTTGTTCTCTACTTGCTGCTTCTGCACGGGCGATTAATTCACTCCCTCCCTATAGACCCATGAACACTCTCAATTCCTCTTTACCTCTGCATAGAAAGTGTGTGAGACATTAGAGAAAACTCTGGCCCAGTGTTATATTATTAATTTGACTTGGACACAGAGTTTAAGAAAATGGTAATTATATGGTTGAAAGTTTATGTAAAAAGAAATGTTAGAATATAAACCACATCTATTTTTCTTTAAAAAGGAAAAGGGAGATTTTTTTAGGACAACAAAAAGAGAAAGTAAGGACAAAAGGGGACAAACATTTTTAGCTTCCAATTATTATAAACGCAAGTACAATGCATTCTTTCCAAAAAAACATAACTAAACAACCTATAAAGTGACTAGGTGTTGTCTTAACCGGAATGGAAAGTGACATCCATAAAGTGACTCGGTCACGAACCAACCAGGGAAACAACGGGTAGATCCGTGTAGCTGTAGGCGGTCAGCATCGACCACAAAATTTAACATCATAAATATATTATGTAATACTATTATATATCGATTTACAAGAAAAATACTACTAATACTACTATCATTTATACACAGCAGTCCATTAATTATATTACTAATAAGCATCGAAAACTTCTTAATGTTCCAAAATATAGTTTTCTTATTCTTTTTACCTGCTTTAGTACACTGCCAGAATTTACTGGTTCTAGGTACAGCCAGGTTAGTAACGGGTGGATACATTTCACAGTTTTAGTCAGTTTTGCAGGTTAATTTATAAATGGACCAGGTTTTGTGGGCAGGTCACTGGATCCAGATGGGCCAGCTCAGGTTCTTTGACATTCATCTTGGATGTACCCAAAAACGGAATAAAGTCAAAGAGATATCACCTATTTATTTTAATAAATAAACAAATTGCATCTTAAACTCAAAAGCTCTCATTTTCCCTTGCACATTGGTGGAGCAGTGAAATCCATAAATGCAGCATACAAATCTACAACCAAAAGTAGAAAAGGTGAGACTGCTGAACTAGCAGAAACTGTGTACCTGATAGGAAATGAAGGCACTAGAAGTTCAAGTGCATTCATCACAATGGAGCCCACATCATCTTCACACACAGTCCCCGTGGGATCTGGAAACAGTGGAGAAAAAACTTCAGGGAATCAAACAAAAATTTGAAACAAAAAAATGTGAAGCTCAACATAGGTAAACGACTGCAGATCTCAGAAACCTGAATAAACAAAATAGTATGCATGTTCTTGCAGAAGATTGTAGAATGCATATTCTACTTTTTAGAATAGTGCTCCAAATAGAGAAATGCAAAGGCACCACAGTGACTATTTATTACGGAGTCTATTACTAAAGAGATTATTTTGATATTATTTTTATATAATTGTACAACCAAACTAAGCCTTGCACCTTATTGCGCAACGGGTTTACGCAATCAGCAAAAACAATTCAACTCCATGATATGCTATGCCAAACACTGTTTGAGTTAAGTGTCTGATCTACAAACTGGAGAGGATAATCAAATTTTATGCTATTTCAGAACACCCATGGAGTAGTTTAGACCTGATGCATTAGCATGCGGGGCCATCTGTAATCCATTCAAGACATGGCCAACAAATGAATAAGCAAACATGCTTGTTTCATCACACGCTTCTTGGATACTGAGGTACGCATTCTCCACCAACCCATTTTTCTCATCATTATTTAACACTATACCAGTAGCTTCAGCTAAAAAGCAATTAGGAGATGCATGAAACTTTTGCATGAATCCCAGTTGTGCTTTTGATTCTTCCGATCCATAATCATATTTTTCTGACCCTCCATTACAAGACGAAATTTTGGGAAGTCCATGAGCGCTTAATAACCTTGAATTATGAGAATGAGCTTCATCCCCATTTTCACAATCCTGTTGGAGGCTAATATTTTTGTTAGGTGAAAAAAGAAGTGGGGTCAACATTTCAGCGGGACTTGAAGAGACTGGTGATTTGGAATCATCAACCGGGATGGTTTCACCAACACTTTCTGATTGGCAATTTATATCATCAGTGTTATCACTATAATATCTAATACGGCCTGAGATGGAGTCTTGAACCTCAGAGCCATCTTCTGCCCCATCATAGCAACACTCTTCGACATCATCATCATCAATGTATGCATCAGCAAAATCTTTGTCAAATTTGTTTTCTGGAAGAAAATCCCACACTATCTGCTTAGCCTGAGCACTCAAATTCAGCAACAGGTGTACTTCTTCCTGTACCTCCTCGGCTGAAAAGGTTCTGCAGGTTGGCATGGGCGCAGACAAGGCTCCTAAATATGCAAATTTTGGGTGAGCAGAATAAGCAATCTATTCAAATACAATTTTATAGAAAAAAATTGCACAAAGAAATAATGTTTATTACCACATTTAGGATGAGACCAGGCCGGGGCTCTCATCGCCCGCCCACTACTTTTGCCAGTGCAGGATGTGCTTTTCTTCTCAGATATATCAATAATAAATCTAACTGTTTCTAGCAAACGTTCTGGTATAGTGTGGATATTGCAGCACTCTAAAAGATATACAGTCAACAAATTCTTCAGTGTGGTACGCGCACAATTTTTTTTTCCTGATGCTTTTTCTTTAAACTCTGGGTCGAGCATAAGTATGCATTTTTTCACTTCTATGGGACTCACTTTCCTTTTAGCTTTGACCAATTGAATAGCACTCATAATATCAGTTTGTAGCTTCTCTATATCAGGTGAAACATTAGAGAAAAAATTTCTCAATTCTGGTTTTAACATCAAGTATGCAACTGATAAAGCTTTTGCCAAGGGTCTTGGTGGTTCATCTCCATCCCCAAATTTTTGCAACAATTCCATTGATTTTTTCCTTATTTTTTTAATCAAGCTCTCGACAGTCCTGCCAGGCCTTCTATTGTGTTGTAATTTTGGAGTGTATCCTTTGACCTCTCTGAGATTTCGATGCATTGCATCTAGTGTGAAACAAGAGAGTTCCTCAAGCCTAGAAAGGACATCAATAATAGCTGTACGGAATGATTGGGTTGGATTTGAAAGAGCCGGTTCATTTGACAAAAAATATTGAGGATCTGTAAGAAGTTGTTTGAGTTGCTTCAATTTGATTTGGCTTTGGTCATCACGGGATTCAAAAAGTCTAGGTAGAAACTCTTGGATTATATTTTTCATCTTCTTTTTTGTTTTGAGGAAGTTAAAAGAGCCATTTGTCAAAATCTCAGTAAGAGAAAATAGCCCTTTGTTGGTCATTTCATCTAGCAAGGAGATGCTATACTTTATTATTATATCCTTATCAGGTGAGTCAAAGAGTCGTATTTCTTTTTCAACCACATATTTTTTCTTTTCAGTCTCTTTACGCATTTCGAGTGCCTCTTCAACAAATGTTTTGATGCTCTCATAACTTAACTGCAACCAAACAAAAGAAGCATCAGTTTGAAATTTCTGTATAGGAGTTTTTGAAGAAAGAAAAATTCTTTTAAAAAGTAACTTGCTGATGTATGCAGAAACATCAATACAATGACTATTGAAATTGGCCAGACAATTACATTAGCTATGTGCAAATAAAATTACCAAATTATGAAAACCTTACATCATCTTCTCTAAGAAGTGATTCAGGTACAAACCTACATGCAAAAAACCAAGGCTTGAATTAAAATTACAGGTGATTTCACATTGCAATGCCACCAACTTGCAACATTTATAATTAATTATAAAGATCTCAATTACATGCACAGTTTCCATCATTTGCAATGGAACCAAAGACTCGCTATGTTTTGGCTTGGGAATATGATGGAATAAAGCAAAATGGCTCACTAAACTGTCCGTGCTTCTTTGTTATGAAGTGGCAGTTGGTCCATGCAATTATCGATGTGATTTTCACTATAGGTCATCCGGAAAAAGTCTCTTTGTGCTTTAGTATAGGGGTAAGGATGCGTACGTCCGAGCCCCTTTAGCCCACCATAGCTGGGAGCCTTTGCGGCACTGGGAAAAATAAAGGACCACTTGGCTAATACACAAGTCAGAGAAATGTGCCCTTCATGTGTAGAATAATAATGACACAAAGTGATAGAGAACCAAGAAGGTTGTTCTAGATTAACACTCCATTTGGCAACACCCTCAGGTAACGCTTCTAATTCGGGTTGGGTTCGGTTCGGGATCCAAACCGATCAAGGATAACTGAAAACCGAACCGGCTTTTCGGTTATCTAAAAACCCATAACCGAAACCAAACCATTCTAACATGGGTACCGATTTATTGGTAACCGATATTTCAGGTCAGTTTATCAAAAACCGAAATACAACTGATTTTTAATTAAAATAAATCATTGAACTCATTTTCAACACATGAGGCCCAAGCCTGCCTTGACAAGATACAACCCAAATTCAACTTTGCCAAACAAGCTCATTGAGAATGTTAGGTCTTTAACACATTTTGGTGCTTGTGAGAACGGGAACATCCACTTTATATAGATGCTATTAAGGAAGAAGGCTTCTCGTTTTTTTCCGGTGTGGGACAAGGGGTTGGGGAAAGTAAATTGAAAATTAAACTTTCAAATAAAAAACAACTCCGGCCTCTAGGGAATAGATCACACAATGTCCGCTACACCAAGTCCCTGGGCAACCACCTTCCTGAATTTAATACACATCATTAACTATAATAATAATAATTGTTATTAATCATTATAAATGTAAAAATGTCGGTTCGGTTCAAACCGATATTTTGAACTTATAAACCGACCTTAAACCGTTTTTTTCGGGTCCCAATTTTCGGATCCCAAATTCTATCGGTTCGGTTCGGGGTTTTCGCAAAGCGGATCAGTTTTTTTCGGTTCGGTTTTCGGTTTTTCTGTCCAAAATGTCAGTTCCCTACTTCTAATTTTATTTATCAATTTTCTGATAGGAGATAGGAAGGCAAAAGGAAGTGGGGGAAAGTGAAGTAACTATAGACTCATCCAAGCTCCTCTTTTCCCACTTGACTTTTTTCCTGCCTTTGTTATAGATATGCATCATTGCATTAAGATATTCTGTATGCTGGGTAATGTATCAATTCCTGATCTGTTAAAGAAAATATGATATACCTTTTAAATATTCCATTTTCTTCCCCCCTCTCCCCTATACACAAAGGATGACCATATTAAGAAATGATCAAAGGACAGTTTTCAAAAGGCAAATGCCTTGGGTGGGTTGAGAGGTTTTCTTTCTAGCCGGTGGTTTGGCGGCCTGGGCTTCAACTAACATATTTATTGGGTTCTTTTTTGTGAAACATGATCAAGGATGGTTACTCATTTACCCACCACTCGAATATATTGTGCATCATATTGAAATAATTTTAACAATAAATATGTACTTCATTGTGAGTGGTAGCATCATTTTTGTCTAGTGATCTGTTCAAAAACATATAGGATAAAACAATTTTGATTATAATTATAAGAATCAAGATGTCATTTATACCAAGTATACAACAACATCCACGCCTTATTCCCAAAAGATTTTAGGGTCGGCTAACATGAATCAATCCATGATATCAGAGCAAAAAAGAGAATAAAAGTAAGGAAAAGAAATAAGGTAAGATAAAATGGATAAGATAAAAATAACATAAGAGCATAAGATAGATAAAAGAGACAAGAGATAAAGAACATACGAAAAATAAAAAGATGAAAATAACATAAGAACAAAGAATGATAAATAAAATAAAAGAAAGAGAGAGGGGGGGAAGAAAAGAGATCAATCGTCCACACATATATGCGTCCTCTACTTTGCTCTGTCCAAACTCCAAATCCATACTCTCATCCAATATAAGAATAAGCATATCAGTTCTGAACTTCTAATCCCTCTAATTAATGTCTGTTTGGGCTTTCCCCTCCCCCTCCTACCCGCCTGCTCTCCCCAGCTCTCAACTCTTCTAACAAGTGCATCACTCGATCTTCTACGCACATGACCAAACCACCGCAATCGAGACTCCTGCATCTTCTCTTCTATAGGTGTTACTCTCACCTTGTCTCATTATCGCATTCCTCAAAAAGGAACTGCATTTGGTGTTCATTGACTTAGAAAAAGCATATGATAGAGTACTCCGAGAAGTCCTTTGGTGGGCCTTAACTAGAAAAGGCATATCAGTAAGTATATCAGTATCATCGTGGATATGTATGATGTTTGTATTACAAGTATCCGCACTAGTGTAGGGACGACCGCAGAGTTTCCTATTACTATCGAAGTGCAACAATGATCTGCTCTGAGTCCTTTCTTATTTGTTATAGTCATGGATGAACTTACGAAGCCCATTCAAGAAGATATACCGAGGTGCATGATGTTTGCCGATGATATTGTATTGATTGATGAGACGCAATCCGGTGTGAAAGCAAAGTTGGAAGCATGGCGACACACATTGGAGACAATGGTTACAGACAGAGTTGAAGCAAGACTGAGTATATGGAGTGCAAGTTTGATGGAGGTAGAAGTAGTGGCATCAGTGGGATTACTCTTGATGGTAAGGAGATACCGGTGTGTGATATGTTACGTTACTTGGGTTCCATAATTCAGAACGATGGTGAATTAGATGGAGATGTATCAGTTATGTCAATAGCGGGCTATAGCGGCGCTATAGCGGAATAGCAGGGCAAAGCAGGGGTTAGGCGCTATGAAACTGCCTATAGCGGAGCGGTTGGCAATAGCGGCTGTAGCGGGCGCTATAACGAGAAGAATAGCGGTTGTAGCAGGCGTTATAGCGCCGCTATAATTTACAGGGCTACTCTAGTCCTATTTTTGAGGGAATTTGGGAGTAGTTTTTAATTTTAGATGTTTTTGGAGTGAAAAATGGCCTCAATACACCATCCAAAACATGTGGGAGACAAAATAACCCTACTATAATAACTTAAAACAGAAACCAATATCAAACATAACTTGTTTCATGCATCTCCATGTTAGGGTAGTTCAAGGCATCCCATCAACCATCATTTCGTTATAATTTGATATTAATGACCGAGAATTTATCAAGAATTATCTAGAACTTAATTTTTAATTTTAAGAGTTAAGGTACTTAAATTATTTGTTTCTTTTGTTTAAAACACTATAGCCTCTATTGGTAAACTAGTAAGTGTAAATTCATGACGTTTGAGTAATATATTTGTGGTTTATCATTTCTTGGTATTGATTTGTGCACGACATGTAATTGTGCACACACTGACACACATATGATATGTACTTTGCATATATATTGTCTAAATAGCGGTCGTCCCGCTATACCGCTATGGCATTTTCACGGGTGGTCGCTACGCTCCGCTGTCCGGGATTAACAACACTGAGATGTATGCCATAGAATCACAACCGGGTGGATGAAATGGAAGAATGCATCAGGATCCCTATGCGATCGAGGTATGCCGACTTGATTTTATCGAACAGCAATTAGACATGCATTAATGTATGGCGTAGAATGATAGACGTTGAAGCAATGTCACATTCAAAAGAGGAGTGTGGCAGAGATGCGTTAGATGTGTGGACATACCAGAAAAGACCGCCCGAGGAATGAGATAATCAGACAAAAGGTGAGAGTATCACCTATAGAAGATTAGATGCACGAGTCTTGTTTGTGGTGGTTTGGGCATGTGCGTAGAAGACCGAGTGATGAACCTGTTAGACGACTTGAGGGTGGGAAGAATAGGTAGAGAAGAGAGGGAAGGGAAAATCCAAACAGATTTGGATTAGAGGAATCAGAACTGAGGTGCGTCTTTTTGGGTTGCATGAGAGGTTAATCCTTACCTAGGCTAGGCCTCCAGACTAGTATCTACGCCCATGACTGCACAGCGCATTACTCTGCGTTGACATTCTCCATGGACAAAATTGAAAAGAAAACAGAATGCATAACAAAGAATATAAACAGAAAAAGCAATTAGTACTTGACGTGTGGTGGAAGAAGCAACTCTAGTCGACTCGTCTCTGATCGTGATAAAATTATACCCGATAACCACCTGAAAATAAAAGATGAACATATCCACATGTTGGAATCCATGAAATATAAAACGAAAAGCAGGTTAATAAAATATTCCATACTAACCTTCTTTTGAGCCTAAGATCCTTCTCTTGCTTCTTCATTTGAAGTAACATGGTTCTGAAATCCTCCACACAATGCTTCTGTATCTTCTTCCCCATCTTCTTCAACTAACCTGCAAAGTCTTGGGATAAGTTTACTTCCGCCAAAGCCAAGTAGGGCACGAGAAACGGGGGAAAGATGGGCCGGAACAAAGAACGAAAGAAGAGATGGGTTTAGATACCTTAGGGTCTCAAGATAGGGGAATTGGATTTGTGGTAATTACATGACCTAGATGTGGGAATTGGTTTACATGACTATGAGTAGTTCATGATTTTGTTTATTCAAATTTTTCTAGCATGAGATTCTAACATTTCTCTTTACGATCAGACACTTCGTCTTGATCGTGTCATTTTTTCGTTGATTTGTCATTGTTATTTTTTTAGTCGTGTCATCATTTTTCATAAGGGGATCCACATAATGGTTATGGATCGCTTTGGTTGTAATGTTATGTTAAGACCTGAGGTTCCATCCTAAAAGGTCAACCTGATAGAAGGAGTAGCCGATATCTTAATATATCATAATTCAGACTTTTCCGGTGTGAGATTCTAACACTTCATTTTATTTATGTCCAATAAGTATTGGTCTTTCGTTCCCCGACTTTCCTCTCTTCAGTTTTAATCTTTTACTTTTTTTTCTTTATTTCAAAATTAGTTCGATATCCTATAACCCTCGCTTGAATACACGAAGAAAAAAGGTTTTGCTCCCAATGATTCTTCCTACCTTCACGGAGTTGCACAGCGGTTTAGAAGGGAGCGGATGGAAATTCAGGTCGCGAGTTCGCGTGGGGACCCTTTTGGATACAGATGAAACGAAGACATGCATTGTAGGAGGACCCTTCTGGATTCAGTTGAAAGGAAGTTCTGCTGGATTCATCCTGTGGTACCGGTACCGACAAAGGCTGACTGTTATAATATCCGGATTTGAGTGTCTAGAAGCTTTGGAGAGCAGTCTAGACTCCATGATTAGGGAAGCTCAAACATCATATATCAAAAAATATAAGAGGCCGTTTGGCAACCCTCAATATTCGGCTTATCAGGCTTATTGTGTAATATTTACCAAACACGTAAATTTTGTTTTCGCGCGCTGAATTGTGTAATAAGCCGAAAAGTAAGGTTGGAGTTACTTTTTTGGCTGTATTGGCTGAAGTTACTGTAGATGACCATTTTAGCTATTTTTACATATAATTTTTTCTTTATTTTAATAATAAAATATATTTTAAAAATATTTTTTCTTGTATCAGCTGAATCAGCAAATGCAGCCACTTCAGCCAGAAATTCATAAATTTCAGCAGAATCAGCCAGAACAACGGATTTTGATGTTGCCAAACGGGCTCTAAGAATTTCATTTATTGGAGAGAGAAGCTCGTAGCAATCCTATCTGACCAAAAGTGAATTATCCTCCGGTGATGTAGGCATCCACGTTCGGCTCCGACATCGATGGAGACAACCACCCTTCTTCAACAACGATTCTGCCCCAGCTTCTAGCATCCGCCTCACCCCCCACGAGCCACCAGCGGCTACCGCGCAGCACACTGCTCGTCAACCGTCTGTCGCACCCAAAAGCATGAAAAAAATTGCGATTTCTCTTTTTCTGGCTCATTGCTTAGGTAGGTAAACTTAAATTAGAAAACTTTCAGATTCAATTACTAAATTACCATTTTTGTTCCATTAGTAAATTGTAGTTTTGTGAAATTTCAATTAGGTATTTGAAATTTGTTCTTCCTGCCCAGGTGCTCTGTACTATGTATGTCTCTCTGCTACTCGTAGAACTTTTATTAATATCTGAATATAATTTCAATGGCTCCACAATTTAATATGTTTCACCATTTACCTTTTGGATTATATTCAATAAGATTATGAGATTTTGAATATACTCTGTGTATATGAAGAACTCTAGAAAAGAGAGGGAGAAGCCACATGTGAAGAAGCTGGTCAATTCAGCTTCCAAGCTACCAGGGCCGGTCCCGAGAAAACGGAGGCCCTGTGCAACAATAAAATTTGGGCCTTTTTTCAAGTTGCAACACAAGCAAATTGTCTTAAAATACAAGTTACTAATAAACGTAATGATTAAAATGAAAAAAGTCATTATTAACTTACAGTTTATATGGAAACATTATTACCAATTATTGAAATTCTCCTCTGATCATGTACATGTTTATAAATTTTAAATTAATATTCAGTTTAAAAGTAGGGTGAAAACATGAATGATTATACTAGTGTATAATTATAATTTAGGGGAAATTAATTAAAATACCCCAAACTTTGATGGGGTGTGAGATAAGCACCCCAAACTTGCATATGTAATTTAAATACCCCAAACTTTACAAAAAAAAGTATTTTAGCACCATGCTCATGTATTATTTCTTTCAAAAATATTAACTTTTGGTGTTTATTTCATAATTTGATAATTTTTAGCATTCATAAAAATACAATTAACATTCTAAGCTTCCATTGTAAAATAAATAGTATTACCCACCACTATATATAATTCTAATGTTTTCAATTTGCTATTTTAAATTATGCAATTAACACAATAAATTTACATTTTTGAAAGAAATAATACATAACCATGTTAAAATAACTTTTTATATAAAGTTTAGGGTATTTAACTTACATATGAAAGTTCGGGTGTGTATCTCACACCCCTTCAAAGTTTGGGGTATTTTAATTATTTTCCCCTATAATTTATCCACATCAAGTTACCTAATAATATATTTATACCACTTTCTTAAATTTTAACTGCTAAACACATTTACAAAATTATACATTGTATTATCAATTCAAATAATGATTTACTTTAACTGCAAAAAATCAACAAATAACGACAATGCAACAATTCAACAAACATTAAATCTGAAAATAAACAAATTACAAGAATTCAACAAACGATTCATCAATTCAATAAATCAAAAGTTCACAAGAATTAGAAAATTAGCAACTAAATGAATAAAAGAAACTGGATGTTGTGGACTGACCGGAATTCCACTGGACCATCTTATTGATATTGGGGGCCAACATTCGTAAATAAAGATACACAACCCCTCGGTACAATGTAAGAGCGGTCGGGCAGCCCAAATGTTATTTTGGGCCTAACCTGCTAAAAATAGCAATTATCCAAGAATGACGTCCTAGATCCACTGGAGGGTGACCCACACGGTTAGTAGCCCAGCTACATGAATATTAATATCATAAATGAGTGATGGAATGATTGGAGAAGAATACAAATGCCTATGGTCCCATCTTTGGCATTATTAGGGTAAATAATGGTATAGGGTTTTCTTTTGTAATTATACATCATATAAATTATTGGGACCACCCTACACATATTAGAGATCAATAATATGATATAGAAGGTTGACTTTTTCTAAATAAATTGGGGAGAGTACAAAAGTACATCTTATGACAAAAGACAAAAATAATAGGACTCATCTTTCCACTTTTGGAAGTATTGGTAGATATTTTGCTCCCAAATTAATTAGGGGGCATAAGAGGGAGACCTACACCTTCATAGCACCTGCAAAACAAGTAGAATAAGTTAGAACTCATAAATGGGGCGGACCTATTGAGTTGAGAGCTCAAACAATACAAAAGAGAAATAAAAGAGGAGGATCATACCATGTTTGATTTGGAATCAAACACCCTACCCTTTCTTTTTGTGAACCACACCATTTCTATCTTCATTTGAGGGCTCCTTAAGCCTTATCACACCCCCCCATTTCGAACTGGGAGGATAAGGAAAAGGTGAGAGCCGCACAAACCAAAGAAAAGAGAGAGGGAGAAGAGTTGGCCGCAAGGGTGTTTTCCAATTCGTGGAGATCATTGTTGGAGCCATATCTCGAGCTATACTAATCCAATTACGTCGTGTAAGGTTCCAAAAGAAAGCTCTCAAGATAAGGAATCCATAGAGGTGCGTTTTGAATCACTCGGAGCAGTTTAACGCCTCCAAATCATCGAAGGAGAACGATACCTCGCAGGTTTCGATTTTGTATTCAAAGTAAGTTTGAACCCAAAACTCTTTCTTTTCTATTGCCTAAATCGTATAAATGATTGAATAACTATTATACACTGGTTGAAGTGTATAATATGTTATTATGAAGCAACTTTATTTGTTGGAAAGGTTAGATACTAACCTAGACAAAATCTTGAAAGGTTAAGGAACGAATTCGCCAGAAAAGACCCGTTCTAGGGGCTGTTTTCGTGTCTTCGGCTAAGAGTTGAGCTAGCACATTGAGGAGGCTGTTTAAAACTTATTTTTAAGCAAGGAATCAATTCTCAAACCCCCTTGGCCGAAGCTTGAGCATTGGGTTGAGAAGGAACAAATTAAAGCTCATTTGAGGTGATGATCGACATCTAGTTGCTTACAACTTGTAGGTTAAGCATGAGATTACCTAAATGCCTAAATCATGTTTTTCATTGATTATAATGACTGATTATTGATGAACTATTGATATATTAGATAAGGAATGAAATTGCAAATGATTTGGAAATCATATTAATAAAAATGGAGTTAAATTAACTATTGTGTGAAATAAACATTTTTACTCATGTGTGAATTGTGTAGGTACATAAATGATTATCTATGTATTACATTGGATTATTAAATTGCTGCTACATATCTCTAAATATGTAGGGATTTACAAATGAAATATATGATTGATGGAATAATCTTAATAGTATTGAAATACTAGTTAATGATTGTTTGTAATTGTTAAGGAATTGAATCTAAGGATTTGATTGTAAGTGATGTACTTGATCGTGGTTCAAGTGATTAAATTGATGTAATGTGAAGCTAAGATCATGATGAGGCGATCCGTAAGGGTGTCCCAAAATAGATTTTTGATATTACAATTCTAGGCATAGCGAGTGATTAGGAATTGGGGTCTACGCCAATGTAAGGAGATGTACTTGAGCCTGTGCTCTAGAATTGCATTGGGTAGACATAAGGTTTAGGTTCAACCCATGTAAGGAGATGCACTTGAGCCCGAACTCTAGAATTGCATGGGTGAACATGACGTCGAAGATTGGTGGAGTAATTAACTTGTGATTGATGTGCATGGTGATGTAGTTGAGTTGGACTCAAAAAATGCAAACATATGTGTTAGGATTGAACCCTATGTATTGTCGTGACTAGGGGTTACGGGGTTTGGGTTATGTTT